CTGACCTTGTTTCAGGCTTTTATAGGGGAATTGCTCCTGGAATCACTGGATCTCTTGCTACTGGAGCAACCTACTTTGGTTTTATTGAGTCCACAAAGAAATGGATTGAAGAGTCTCATCCCAACTTAGGGGGGCACTGGGTACATTTTATAGCAGGAGCTATTGGTATGTTATCCAATCTCTCATCTCCTCTCGTCTCTAGTCTCGGTCATCTGATCAATGAGGTGGTGGTAGAGCTAGGAGGGATATGTATGTTCACTCAAGTGGAAACTGAAACTAAATATAACCTGGCTGAAGCATCAGATATTATCAGACATTTCAATGTTATGTGATGATTCTAACTATGGATTTCGTGGTTCGGTCTTTAAAAGATAAGATCCAGTTTTTCCTTAAAACCGCACATGAGCAAGATTGCAAAAATTGCTGATTGCTTACTTGAGAACCTGTGGAACTGCAATTTTTCTTTACTCTCTCATGAGACACCATTGACTGGCCTTTTTGTGGATTTCATCATGAAAAATTATGGCTGTATGTTTTATACACTTCATGACTAGGTTTCCAGAAAATGAAAATGAAGGGATACCTAGAGTTATCTGAAGTTGGAAAACATCTGATTCCTTTGTGCTTTGCTGCTTCTTTCTTTTTTTCAGGTGATACACTTGGTTCTTTCGTATATGTTCCTTGTGAAGTAATAAAGCAGCGGATGCAAGTTCAAGGCACTAGTAGCTCCTGGAGCTCTTTCATTTCTAGGAATAGCGTTCCAGTGAAACCAAGAGGTGACATGTATGGTTATTATACTGGAATGTTCCAGGCTGGAAGCTCAATATGGAAAGAGCAAGGACCAAAAGGACTGTATGCTGGGTATTTAATTTTCCTTCTGGCCATTATGATGCAAATTGGATACATTTTATTCTTAACGTTGTATTCGCGTCAAGGGACCCATGTAATTTGTTTTTTTCTTTGCTTTGGCAGATATTGGTCTACACTTGCAAGGGATGTACCTTTTGCTGGTCTTATGGTATGTAATCGGGCGCTTTAGTGAACATGCGTATTAGTTTCCAGGATCTCCAAAACTGTTACCTCTACTCATCGGATGGGTTATCTCTCCTAATGTTCGTTCTGTTTTTCCTTTTCAGGTAATGTTTTATGAAGCATTAAAGGATCTCTCAGATCAAGGGAAGAAAAAGTTTCCACAATATGGAGTCAACAGTTCTATCGAGGGGCTCGTATTGGGAGGATTAGCTGGTGGTACGTTAGGATGAGATCGCTTTAAAGAAACCATTTTAAATAGCTAATCCGTAGTGACCCATCTTTAATTAATATATCTGTCCAGGACTAAGCGCTTATCTCACAACTCCTCTGGATGTTGTAAAAACAAGACTGCAAGTGCAAGGATCAACGATCAAGTACGTCTCATATAATTTTACAGATTCTTATGATCATATCTAAAATAGCATGCACATGTAGAATCAAGAACTTGTGTTCATTAGACTTGGTATAATCTCCATAGGTACAAGGGATGGTTGGATGCAGTTGGGCAGATATTAAGGAAGGAAGGTCCGGAAGGTTTTTTCCGAGGAAGCGTCCCGAGGGTCATGTGGTATCTTCCGGCTTCTGCACTCACCTTCATGGCCGTTGAATTCCTTAGAGATAATTTCAGAGAAAAGGGAAAAGTCTCAAACTTGAGCATAGAGAGGAAAACATCTTCTTCAGTACATGAGGTTAGTGACAACTAGTGAGATGATTCTTGACTTCTTTGGATCCAAAGTATAAAAAGTGAGGAACATTCACAAACTTGTCTTTGTATATGGCTCAATCTTTTGTTTTTTCTTGTAAGAAAACAACAATCTGATCCCTCTTCAATAAAAGATAGTTAAAGATTTTAAACTCCATTTTAAGAAGAAGATAAAATGAAATAATGAAAAAGTTATATATGGACTTTTTTATATATACATTTCCAAGGTCAAATTTCACAGGCCGAACTGGGTTATGCGTTTAAAAAACGACGATACAAGAGAAATAGCCTAAACCCTAAAGACTAGGAGATGGCGGCGACTTCGTCTCGCTCGGAGAAACGATGCCACTACGAGGTTCTCGGAATCAGCAAAGAATCATCGCCGGACGAGATTCGATCCACATATCGGCGTTTAGCTTTACTGCGTCATCCCGATAAGCTTATCAAAGCCGGTGGTATATCGGAGTCTGAAGCCACCGCCCAGTTCCAAGAGCTCGTTCACGCCTACGAGGTTTTATCCGATCCAAAGGAACGAGCCTGGTATGATTCTCACCGATCTCAGATTCTATTCGCCGATCATGGCTCCTCCGGTGGCTCGAAATCTCGTGGAATGCCCGGCGGCTCCGTTCCGGATCTATTCGCTTTCTTCACGACCACTGTATATTCAGGTTACTCGGACACCGGAAAAGGATTCTACAAGGTGTATTTCGATGTGTTTAACAGTGTTTACCTCAACGAGATTAATTTCGCGAGAACGTTAGGGTTAAGGATGGATTCTGTGAAGGAAGCTCCGATCATGGGGAATCTAGAGAGACCGTATGCTCAGGCTACGGCGTTTTATAATTACTGGTTAGGGTTTAGCACTGTTATGGATTTCTGCTGGGTTGATGAGTATGATGCAATGGCTGGACCTAACCGAAAATCGAGAAGGTTGATGGAGGAGGCGAACAAGAAGGTGAGGAAGAAAGCTAAGAGAGAGTATAACGAGACTGTGAGAAGTTTAGCAGAGTTTGT